TCCAAATTGGCCCCTCGTCAGTGGTAGTGGCTAGATTAGTCTTGCAAAAGAAAGACTTCAGTTTTGTCTTTTTTTTCTTTCTTCACTTTTTTTGCTTTTGTCACTTAGGCACAGACTCCACCATGGCAGCAAGAGTCACCAGGATCAAAAGGCCCTTGAGTGGATGCTGCTGTAGCAGAAGAGGAGCTGACCTCACAGCAGAGACCAGACTGCCTGGTGGGTTCCTGGAACCCTCTTACACAGGCTTGGTGAGAACTGACACGGGACACTGCGGTAAATATGGCACCCCTTCTCAGAGGCCTGTTCTCACACCAGATGGTTCCCTCAATCTGTCACCAACCCTCAAACCCTTTTATTTCTCCCTCTGCCTCTCTCGCTCTTTGTGTGTGTGTGTGTGTGTTTTGTTTTGTTTTCTTTGCTTGTTTCACTATAGGGCTCATGCACTTGCCATAGAGAGATAGGGAGTGAACGAGAGAGAAAGTGAGAAACCACCCCCTGGGGGGGGATGGCCACGCCACAGTCCTTTCTCCTCCACTTTCCTCTTGGGATTTGGGCACACATGCACACCTGTCATGCTTCCCAAACCTCCAGGGGACTTGAACCACACAGTTGGCCAATTGAGATCCAGTCACCTTAACCACCACACCACTTGGCTGGCCCTATTTCTTTTAGCATATGGCATAACCCACCACAGAATCAGTATTCCAAACTACCTGCTCCTAGATTCAAGTAATCATTATTTTTACCCATCCTTTCTCTTTTTTAAAAAAAGAGGTTTTTGCTATAGGGCACATGTACTCACTGGAGAGACAAAGAGATATAAAGTGAGAAATCATTCCTCTGGGGGGATGGTCACACCACAATCCCTTCTCCTCTTGGGATTTTGGGCACACATGCACATGCACCGAGTGTGAGTTTAAGCCACCGGGTCTGGGACTTGAACTGCGGTTGACTATGTGGCAGTCTAGTGATATAACCATTATGCCATCTGGTCTCGCCCCCTTTTTTTGAGAGATTTTTGCTACAGGGCATATGAACTTGCTGGAGAGACAGAAATTGAGAAAACATCCCCTACGGGTACAGCCACACCACAGTCCCTTTCCCTCCATTCTCCTCTTGGAATTTTGCGCATGCACATACATGCGCCCAGTATGAGTTTTAAGTTGCTAGGTCCGGGACTCAGTCCACTGCAGTGGACTCCATTGGAGTCCAGTGACATAACCATTATGCCATCTGCTGGTCCTGAGAAACAGGATTCTAATTTTTTTTTTTTTTTTCTAGGGCACTTGAGCTTGCCAGACAGACAGAGACAGACATAAGGACAGAACGCGAGAAATCACCCCCCAGGGGGGATGGTCATGCCACAATCCCCCCTCCTCCATTCTAGTGGCTGACTGCACAGTGAGTCCCACACTCGGTAGCTTGAAAAATACACACGTGTGCGTGTGTGCCAAAAATCCAAGGAGAATGGAGAAGGAATTGCGGCATGGCCGTGTTACTGGGGGTGGTTTCTCACTTTCCCTCTCTCTGTCTCTCTCTGGAGCACACATGCCCTATGGCAAAAAACAAGAAAGAAGAAAGAAACAGGGAGGGAGGGAAAGAAGGAAGGGGAAAGAAAAAGGCAGCCTAATATAATGACCCGCCACCAGGTGGCGCCTGTGCCCAGCGTAAAACTGCAGGGCCTCACCTAGGGCTTAGGCTTGGCTGTATCTTCCAAATTGGCCCCTCGTCAGTGGTAGTGGCTAGATTAGTCTTGCAAAAGAAAGACTTCAGTTTTGTCTTTTTTTTCTTTCTTCACTTTTTTTGCTTTTGTCACTTAGGCACAGACTCCACCATGGCAGCAAGAGTCACCAGGATCAAAAGGCCCTTGAGTGGATGCTGCTGTAGCAGAAGAGGAGCTGACCTCACAGCAGAGACCAGACTGCCTGGTGGGTTCCTGGAACCCTCTTACACAGGCTTGGTGAGAACTGACACGGGACACTGCGGTAAATATGGCACCCCTTCTCAGAGGCCTGTTCTCACACCAGATGGTTCCCTCAATCTGTCACCAACCCTCAAACCCTTTTATTTCTCCCTCTGCCTCTCTCGCTCTTTGTGTGTGTGTGTGTGTGTTTTGTTTTGTTTTCTTTGCTTGTTTCACTATAGGGCTCATGCACTTGCCATAGAGAGATAGGGAGTGAACGAGAGAGAAAGTGAGAAACCACCCCCTGGGGGGGGATGGCCACGCCACAGTCCTTTCTCCTCCACTTTCCTCTTGGGATTTGGGCACACATGCACACCTGTCATGCTTCCCAAACCTCCAGGGGACTTGAACCACACAGTTGGCCAATTGAGATCCAGTCACCTTAACCACCACACCACTTGGCTGGCCCTATTTCTTTTAGCATATGGCATAACCCACCACAGAATCAGTATTCCAAACTACCTGCTCCTAGATTCAAGTAATCATTATTTTTACCCATCCTTTCTCTTTTTTAAAAAAAGAGGTTTTTGCATTAAGGCACATGCACTCACTGGAGAGAGAGACAGAGATAGTGAGAAGGAAAATGAGAAACCACTCCCCAGAAAGGGATAGCCACACCACAATCCCTTCTCCTCCATTTTCCCAGGATCTTGGGCATACACACGCAAGCCCAGCATGATTGTCAGCCCCCAGGTGTGGGATTCAAACTGCCGTCAGCCATGTGGAAGTTCAGCAACATAACTGCTATGCCATCTGCTGGCCCCTATTTACCTATTCTTGTAGTCAACGTTTTTATCTCTGAGCGGGGGTGGCATTTTCATTATTTCCAGTGGAGATTCCCAGTTCTGAATTAGAAACCATGTGTCTGTCCCAGGACATGCATGACACTACGGTGAGGACCTTACCCCAAACTGGCAGAGGGAAACCAGTCTTTCCCTGAACTATTTAACTACAGCCAACCCTCTTGATTCTGGGGTGGAGCCACCCTGAGGCCTGTGAGTTGACAGAAAAGTCATGAAGCATTTTTACGTAAAGAAACATAGAAACGATTTGCCATGACTTTTCCAACAGCCCAATATTTACCAGACACATACAAGCCAGCGGAGAACCTCGCCCCCAACTGGTGCCAAGAGACACTTGAGAAGTTCCATACAAATATTGAAACTATGTCAGCCTGCCACAGATGGGCACCCAAATGGAAGAGAGTAACGTATTTAGACAGTCTATTCAGGTCCAAAGAAGCTGAGCACTTGTGGGCATTACAGAGCTTGTCCGGGCAGGTTACGAGGGCTTTGCAAGTGAACGTGGTACACTGGGGAGGTGGCGAGGGTTCTGAGTAGATTCTCTTCATGCTGGTGCTCTTAATGACACCATATTTATTGGCTATTTGGAAGAAATTGAAGTAAAGCATGAAGCTTGGGTCTATTTAATGCTCTCACAAGGTTTGGTTAAGGAAAACAACTAAAGAAATTTACAGAGCTGCAGTTTTGAAGTTAAAGCACACCATGGAACCCCCATTAACACACAAGATAGTATCTTGTAATATTATGATAATAAAATAATAATATTCTGTTAAAACAAAACATAGTTGGGTCCATGCAATGCCACCATTTTTGTTGGCATAATAACACTGATGAGTAACTGAGTACTTATAATTATGCTCTTTTGTACCAATAAAACTTTAGTTGGTTTTGGTTTGATTTTATACTATCACTAGAAATCTAAGCAACTTTTTTTATTTAAAAAAGAATTAATTTTTATTTATCATTATTTTTATGATTAATTTGGCCAGAGAGGCTCAGAAGGAAAGGGAGGAAGCAAACCACCAGGTCCAGGACTTGAACCATGGTTGACCCTGTGGGTGTCCAGCCCCTAAACCACCACACCACCTTCTAGCCCATGTAGACAACTTTTATAGTAAAAAAAATATATATGAAGGAAGAAGTTGGCACAGGGAGAGAGAGGGGAAAGAAGTAAAGAGGGAAAGAAAGGCAGGAGAGAGGGAGGAGAGTCGATATGAAGAACATGTACGGCCTGGACAAAAAGATCACGGTACTGTGCTTCACTACCATCATGCAGCTCAATGAGTCAGCCTAAGACACCCAAGGTGAAATGGTTCAAGTAGGGGCTGGCAGGTGGCAGGAGGGTAAGGCACTGGACTTCCACATGGCCAATTGCAGTTTGAGTCCTGGATCTGGTGACTTGCTTTCTCACTTTCCCTCTCTCTCCATCTCTCCGGTCAAATAAAAAATGATAATAATAAATGAAGTCGAGTAAGTAATTCTTTTTAAAAAATAATCTGATACAAAATTTAGAAATCTGTAGGAAAGCAAAAGGAAGAAATTAAATCATCTGTAAGAGTTTTATCTGTGGGGAATTGTGAAAAAAAGAAAGCAAAGGCAATGGTTAAAATTGGTAGCGAAGCTAAGCGCTCAGAGGCTCTGGGCCAGTGTGCGAGCGAGAACAGGACACATAATCTGAAGCAGGTGCCAGTCGCTGCCTCAGGAAGCTGAACCAGGGGGCAGGGGAAGTGTCGCCTTTTAGTTCATTCAGGTTAGCATTTTCTGAGCGTTTTTAGTTTTTTCCTTTTCTTTTTTAGAGATTTTTTTTTTTCACGTGCGCTTCCCAGAGAGAGAAAAAGCGAGAAATCATCCCCTAGGAGCAACTCCGCAATCCCTTCTCCCGGGGGTTTGGGTTCCCAGGAACAGAAGCCCAGGGAGAACCGGGACTCCAACCAGAGCCGGCCACGTGGGATCCAGCCGCCTCCCACGCCAGGCCCCGGCTGGCCCCGAGGTATTTTTAAACCATAAAGAACGCATGCCTTTTTTAAAAATTGTTCTTCAAATCATCGTTTTCTATCGCTGTCTACGCTTTCCCAGAATTTTCCTTTTAAAACGCCCACCTAGCTACCCGCCCCGAGCAATTCCGGCCATCGGGTTCCCCGGGAACCGGAAGTCGAGTCCAGGCGCGGACG